TTGTGCAAAACAGGAAGTGCCAGGAAATGAACACTCCCTGGAACAACCCTTGGCCAGTAAGCATGGGAGATGGTAAAGATTTCCCTTTTCTGGAACTTACACAAATTTAACATGGAGGTACACTTAACTTCTCAGTGTGTCCCTGGTGGGAGGGAACTCTAGTAGTCCCAGTGGGTATCCAACTCCTAATGCATACATGGATCAGATTTCAAATCTTCCCTGACCTCCACACTCCTGGTCCCTTAAGTCACTTCCTAAAATAAACTATCTGCCTATAAGGGTGCAGCTCTGCTCTTAAGAGAAACCAATTTAACACATGCAAGAGAGGCTAAATCCTGCAGAAGAGAGAAGAAGGAGGCTGGAAATACAGAGGGCTCATTGATACCCAGAACATTCCAGACTGTCCCTCAAGCCAACAGCCACTGCTCAAGGTTCAAACAGCTGCGCATGACTGAGAACAAGTCATGTCCAAAAAACAATTTAAGATCCTCTGTGAGGCACTGGGGAAAAAAGAGGAGGAAAGCAAAAGAAATGAGGATTGCAACAAGCATGTGTATTGCAAAGGTTTAATATTAATAATATTAATAATAATAATAATGGAAAAAATAAATGAGGGTTGTTTAACTTGAAGAAAAGAAAACAACTGACTTCATTAAAATAAAGGGGTGGTTCCCAATGTTAGTCTTAATAAGAATGCAGGGAGGTAGGATTAAACTGGGGTTGAGGAGACATTTTAACCATGTTTGCTGACAAGGGAGAGATTGGCACCTCCTGGTGAAGTTATGAGTTCTCATCGAAGGAGACACTCAGCTCGTGGTGGAAAACAAACTTACCGGGGACAACGTGACTGGGATTCATTCTTTAGAGAACAGCTTTTAAATTTGTCTCTTCTCGAGATACTGTTTTAAAAATCATGGAGTCTTGGACTTAGGGTGTAGCTCATTGGTAGAGTACTTGCCTAACCTGCATGAGCCCCTGGGTTTGATCCCAACACCACAAAAAATGGGTGGGGAATCAGAGAGCTTTTGGAAATTAGGATTTTGCTAGTATAGCTCTGCCTCCTAAAGAGGGATTATTGATAGATCTGTGACCTCATTCCTCACCTCCCCAACCCCAGTGGTGGTGCAGTGCCTTACAAAACTGAATTGCATTTTAGTCTTGATGCTGTTTGTGGGCTGTTTACTCATGAGGTCTTGGCACCACCTAGTGGTTAACTTATTCATTACAACATATGTCTGACCTGCAACGTAGTAGTTTACTACAAACACCTGGTTGATTTATCAATTCAACAAAAGACACAGTATAGGTTAAGCACTGTGCCAGAACCTGGGGTTAAAGAGTAATCAAAGAAGACATGGTCTTGCCTTCTTGAGGTTCACAGTCTAATGGAGTAGATGAACAAACAACAAAAAATTTAAATGATTATGCATTGTAATGTCATCAGAAAATAAACCTGCCGTGGGACACAGGATAATGTAGGCAGAAAGGGCATATTTTAAATTGGGTAGTCAGAGAAACTACCCCAAGAAATGAAGCTCAAGCTGGGGAGATGGGACAGGGTTGCTGAGAACATTCCATGAAGGCAGAACGTAGCACATGCAGAATTGTGGAGGGGCCCAGGGCTCAGCTGTAGGAGATGATGAAAGATCAGGGCACTCAGAGCACAGTGAGGGAGGCCCAGGGGAACACGATAGGCCTGGAAACTAGGAGAGTATCGTGTCTCTAAACATTTCCTTAGGGAAGGAAGGGTAATATCTTGATGTGAACTCACCCATTTGTTCAACTCCACCAGGACCCCAACCGGGAACATCAATAATAGCTGCTCTCCATGAGAAGAAAATTACCCTCTAGATAGGAAAAGAGGTAGGAGGGAAAGGGAGGGAGAAGGGGAATTGCATGGAAGAGGGAAGGAGACCCTCTTTGTTATACACAATTCGGGTATGACGATGTGAGGAAAAAAAAAAGAAGTGGGTCACATTAGATTGGGTGGAGAGAAGTGATGGGAGGGGAGTGAAGGGAAGCGGGGAATAGAAGGACAGCAGAATAAAATAGACATTATTATTGCTGTCGGTATATATGTGACTGCATGACCAATGTAATCCTGCAACCTGTTCACTCAGAAAAATGAGAAATTTTTTCCCATCTGATTCAAATGTAAAAAAACAAAAACAAAACAAAATAAAAATAATAATAGCTGCTCTGCTCTCATGATTCCCATTCCTGATAAGCTGTGTCTTTGGCTGATTACAGGGGACTCTCGTTTTAAAATTCAGAATAGTGGCTCTCAACCTGGGCCACAAACTACCAGAGAGCTCTTAAGAATTCCAATGTCCAAGCCACAGCCCTAACCAGTTAAAGCTGCATCCCTGGGCTCCCAAGGTAATTCCAATGTGCTGATGAATTTGAGAACAACTGACCTGGAGAGATGCTTGCCAAGCAGGGTGGGGAGAGAAAGAAAGAAAACACCTCACCTGGTACTCCCAAGTAGTGAAAGTCATATATGAATAATGAGCCAGGCTGTTCTGTGCGTGTTTGGGTTTTTTCCCTCAAGAGTAGGCCCACTTTCCAGGTGGAAGGCACCACTCAGGGCTATCCAGCCCTCTGCTTGATGCTAATTAAGTTCCATCTGGACGCTTCACCCTGCGGTCCAGAGCCCCTGGGAGCTGATGTTACAAGAAGGTCAGGTTTCACACTGGAAAGCAGGTCTGCTAAGGGCACAGAATTATGAGGTTTCCATGGCCTCCTTATTCATGCACACTTCCCCAGGGTCAGAGGGTTCAAATAGCCAAACCTCCTACAGCAGCAGATCCAGCCCCAGCTGCTCATCAGTGGCCTAGGGGGCTTTTTAAAACTATTGATGCTTAGACCCAATTCAAGATTGATCTGGTTGAGGTTTGTACTATCAGCTGATCCTAACATGCAGCTGAGATGGTAAGCCACTGTTGCCAAAGAAAAGACAGCATCTGTGGTCCCGCATGTTTGGGGAGGCCTGCAGTAACTAGAACCTCTGTGTCACTGGGGTTGCTTCCCAAGTGACCTACCAATAGTACTATTTTTTATTATGGGTTGAATTTTCCTTATCCAAAATGCTTGGTAACAGAAATATTTCAGATTCTGGATTATTTTTTTTTTTAATTTTGGGATATTTGCATATATATGAGGTATCTTGGAGAGGAGATCAAAGTCTAAAAGTAAAGTCCATTTATGTCTTATACATACTTTATACATATAGCCCAAAGCTCATTTTACACAGTATTTTTAGTGCACGTTTTGATAGTGAATATTTCAGAAGGTCAAATGTGAAATTTTCCAACTGGGCAATGTCAAGTCAGAATCCAAATGTTTTGGATTTAGGGACACTGCGGATTTGGGAATATTTTTGGATTCTGGATGTTCAACCTGTATCTGCTAAGCAACCCAGTCCTGAATCTAGCTCTGTACTCTCCAGGCCTTAAATTGGCCACAAGCACTTAAGACTATTTCCCAGAGGCTTGGGAGCAAGAACTCACCCTAAGCATGTAGCACGGAGAAAGCAATGCTACATTTATACGTAACACACCATTTCCTATTATTTCCAATAAAAGGCCAATTAACATTAGGGTTCATGCTAATCAAGCTTCATAAGGAACTGGCAACATGAACCTAGGCTACACTTGTATATGATTTTATTTAAGCAATTACTTTTTTCATTTTTTTGTTCTTTTTAGATATACATGACAGTAGAGTGTATTTTGACATTATTCATACATAGAGTGTAACTTATTCTAATTAGGATCCCATTCTTGTGGTTGAGCATGTTGTGGAGTTACACTGTGTGTTCATATATGAACATAGGAAGGTTATGTCCGATTCATTCTACTGTCTTTCCTATTCCTATCCTTCCTCCCACCCTTTCATTCCCTTAACATTTTTTCTTCAGAGATGACCCACTGGGTGCCATGCAGATGCCTGTAATCCCAGCTTCTCAGGAGACTGAGACAGGAGGATTACAAATTCAAAGCCACCCTCAGCAATGGTGAAGGGCTCAGCAACTCAGTGAGACCAACAACGTCTCTAAGAAAAAAAAAAAAAAAAAAGAGATTACCCACATATATTTTCACACCAAATGGATATGCACCAGAAAGGTTAAACTGTAGTTACATCAGGGTAGTGAAATCCAGGTAATTTTAATTTTTTCATTGTTGGTGATCTTCACTGTTTTTTTATGATGAATATGGATGATAGATATAGCATTACTTAAGTAAAACCAAGAAGGAAAAAAAGCTAATCACCCAGAAAAAACTGCATGTAACTGATCTGAGTGTTCAGCTCACAACTCTTATTAGGATACTTTCTGACTTAGTGGACTCTGAAACCACTGTCCCCTTAACAAAAGAACAGGACCATGTTGTATTTTGTGGCTATGTGACTAGAGTGCAGCAGGCACCTGACAAGATGAAAATAAACATGTTAATCAATTCAGTGACTACAGAGAATAAAGCCAGTCCCAACAATCTTTGTTTTTGGTCAGGGATATGAATTCTTTACTGAATGTGTGCAGATTCTATTAGATTTTCAAGTTATATTCTGCAAAACTAATGTTTTCTGGACAATAAGTACCAAAAAAAAAAAAAAAAAAAGAGTGTTATAGACAAGTCAGAAAAAGATTCCTTTCCTGAAGAGTGAAGAGATGCAGGATGTTGACAGCAGATATTCATTGTGGATCTGCAACAGGAAGATGTCCAATCCCTCAAGTTTATTTAGTCATGAAATACCTTTTTCCACAGACCAACTATCCTTTCAGCTTGTGACTCTTTGACTTACCATCCACACAGCAGAGTAACTGAAATGTGACCTGTCCCCTGTACCCACAGCAGAGCAGCAGGCCCCAGGTGCTGTACAGAATGCGGTTAGGCAACACACAGCACATTCAGACTTCTGTCATCAAGAAAGCTAAGCCACTGATGAAGTGGCTCAGAGCCTAGAAAGCAATGAGAAATGGTCCAAAAAATATTCACAACTGAACATCAGGTGGTATTTTAATTTATTCTGTTTACAGACAGCACTTAGATACACTATTTTCCTTGATCTCATTTGTTGTTGGACACAAAGACACTGAGAAGCTTGGTGAGAGGAGAAACATCAGCCATTCATTGGCTCAAGGGCTTTCCAACTACTGGAAGGCTTGCCAGTTTGTCCCCAACTCATCACCCCCAAAGACTGCAAAAACACAATGCATTTATTTACATGAAATGATGCCTAATGCACGTGTAAATTCAAAACATATTACTCAGGCTCTGTTAGAAAAAGGATGGCAGGAAGTAAGGGGCTGAAGTAGATGAAGGTTAATGAGCCACCAGGTTTCTCCAAGTGAAAAAAGCAATCATGAGCCTGCCATGGGGCAGGATAAGAGATTTATTATGCCCTGCTCAAGACCTGCAGTGGACGATGTGACTACATGGGTGGCGTTTTGAAAGCAAATGGTCATTTCAGTCATCACTTTGCAGAGGTAGCTACTGTACCATATAGCCACGCTGAACAAAGCGTGTTCCTAAGGGTACTGATCCCACAAAGTGCTCCTTAGAAAAGGAATTCGAGGATCAAAAAGATTTTTAAAAACACTATACACTGTTATCTACTTTTGGAATCTCTCTCTCTCTCTCTCTCTCTCTCTCAGAACATGCTCTAAGAATTCTCCTTTATGGCTTTGAGAAATTCTTTACAGAAACAAAAATAAAAATTTTTTACTTAAAAAAATTAACTCCTAGGATCACATGTTGTTCAATATGTGATCAAGGTCACATGTTAGTCAAGTTCATAAAGTCACAGACCTCTTTAAATTCCAACCCAACATTTTTATCATATACAGGCAGCAATAAATTGTCTGTTATTTCATTCTTTATGGCACAAGGTACTCAGCATACTGATTACAGTACAGGTTTGAGCACGGCCCATACAGGGCCGATATCTCACAAACAGAAGCCAGATGTTTATAGTCTCTTCCTCTTTATTAAACAGCTACTGCTGCTTATCATGACTATGAGCTCAAACGGACCTCACAGCTTTTTGCTCCTAACAAAAAAGGGACAATAAAAAGTAAAGCTTTAATAATGTGCCCTGCTTTTCAGCAAGAATTACACAAACAAAAAAATCACAATAAAAAGCTTTTGGCCACACGTACCAGACAATTACACAGCAAGGGCAGGGAGAGATGAAATGATGTAAGTATTTCATCATTTCATAATATATATATTCTTAATTCTTCTTTTCAAGGAATTTCACATGATATTTCGAAACAGAAGACAAGGAAAGCAAGATTCCAACTGTGGGACTTTGTAAATAAAATCACCTATGCTCTGCTAGGCAGTGAACCGGCACTTATACCTCAATGGCAATCCTGGCAAATCGGTACTGCAGGGAGGCGGGAGGCCTCAGCAGCACCAGGCCCCTTCCAGCTGCCGGCTGCCTGGGCAGCATGTCTAGCAATCCTGTCAGACTCACGAACCCCAGAGCCTCTCCACAGCCAACAGCCATGGAAAAATCTCCCTGGGTGACAAAGCCTAGGAGGATTCTGGAACAATGGGCGATCATACCTGGGAGGGGACCTGGCCACAGCCCCAGAGTCAGAGCTCCCTGCCCAGCAGCAGGGGTCTCCACTGCCAGGCCCTCGGAAGCAGCAAACTCTCGGTTCTGCCTCCTGTCCATCTTCTTCTTCTCTTTCTGTTTCAGGATGATGCTCTTGAATGGATCACTGTGTCTGGCTTCCTGGGGCCCACAGTAGTGCTGATCCTGGCTGAGTTGGAGGAAGTCCTCCTCAGTTGGGACACAGATCATGGTGAGTGGCTCAGGGCTGCCCTTCCTGAGCAGGGACAGGCTGACCCATACCAGGGCCCTGGGAAAGTGGTCCAAGATGGACAGGCGGGCCTCTGTGGTCAATTCTTGCTGGCCTCTGCTGGCAGCCCACCGGACCACCCGATTGTTTGCAGAACTGGGCCCACACCAGGCTGACAATTGCTTCAGTAATTTCCTATTCCTACAAGAAGTCAGAGACACACATTTGAGGATATTTTGTTCAAAGAATAAAATCTTCAAATAGAAGATTAGGCATTGCTAGAGTTAATTTGATTTTTAAAACTGCAACATGGAAAAGTATCAAAACTACAATTTTTTTTAAAACTTAAAATACTTCAGTAACGGGGGGAAATGGCTCAGTTAGTAGAGTGCTTGCCTTGCATGCACAAAGCCCCGGGTTCAATCCCCAGTACCACACACACAAAAAGATTCTTCAGTAACAATATTTTTCTTTTTATGTACCTGATATTCTGAAACTGAAAGATTAAAGGTTTAAGAAGTTGAAGGCTGAGAAAAGAGAGTGGGATAGAAAATACTAGAAGTGTAATCACAGTGAGAAGATGAGAATAAAGAGGAGCTGATATTTTGATAAGAAAGACCTGAAGAGACAGTATATATAAAGAAAGAAATAAGATTATAAAATCATGAAATTAACTACACAGAAAAATAAGTATAAGCCAAGAGAAGAGAGCACTTTTTAAAATCAGAGCATATTGCACAGGGTGTCTGCAGAAGCACCAAGGGCAGAACACATTTCATGTGGAAGCTGCTATAAGACCACGTTCCCTGAACAGGCTGCTAACTCCCACAAACCATATAATTCAAAAGGAGCTAGAAGAGTGCTAATCAGTGATATAAAGCAAAGAAAGCCACTCTATGCACAGAGTGCCTTGTTACCTAGGGTCATTCAATGAAGGCACTTCTTTGTGAGCAAAGACTAAATGCAATAGGTCACAGGAAAAACTGACTAGGTCTAGGACTGTGAATAACAACATTTTCAATCAGGTCATGAGTTAGCACCAGGCCTCAATCAAGTATCTAATTAAGGTGTCTTCCTGGGCCCTCTATGAAACATCAAAGGACTGGCTTTCCTTTCCAGAAAGTCCATAAGTTCACCTGGGATTTGCATAAAGGAATAGTGATAACTTTCACATCCTGGAGCCTGTTTAACATGAACATTAGCAATCCAACATGCATCTAGAAGCCACTCACACTCACCTGAGAACACAGAGTTGACTACTGGTGGCAGCAACATGGTTCTCACCAGCACCCTGGTCTATTACTGTCCCAGTTTCTGCCTGGTCCTGACACTCTGTGTCCATGACTTCTGGGTCCCCACGGTCATTTGCAGATGTGCCCACTTCAGAATGATGAGACTTTTCAGGAGCATGAGGCATCCAATGTCTTTTTAGGTCACCCTCCTCACCACATGGAGACGAAGCAACAGAAGACACATCTTGGGCATGGACTCTGGACTCCCAGTCCTGAGTTAACTGCTCCCAGGGACAGCAGAAAGGTGCCAGTGTGCCAAGTTTAACATAGTTAGGTCGTTTGGCAGGAGGGCGTCTAATAAAAAATGAAAAGAGAACTGATTCTCAACAACTGAGAAGTGGGCAAGGCAATTAAAATAATCATCACCATCATCATACATTTTTATTTAAACAACAATCACACAAAAATGGCTTTCCAAGAAATATATAGGGCTGGGGGCATGTCTCAGTGATATAGTGCTTGCCTGGCATGTATGAGGCACTGGGTTCAATCCTCAACACCATATAAAAATAAATAAATAAAATAAAAGTATTGTGTCCATATATAATAACAAAAAATTTTTTAAATGTATGATAAAGAATAATAGCCAACTCTACTGGCCAAGTTCTTTTGTTTTCTTTGGTATTTAATAGATATTGCACCCACAAAGTAGTCCCATGTGGCTACTGAACAACCCCAGGGAGGACCATTCCTGAGAGCTCCAATTACATGGTGCCCTGGAGTTGTGAAGTGATGTTCCTATATATTCACAAGGTTCTAAGTTCAAGGTTATAGTGAAGTTTCTTTTTCACTCCTCACCTCTAGTGACCCTACTGCCCTCCACGAAGAATTATCAGTTTATGTTCATGCAAATACATATGTACTTATTTCTTTTCACTTATCTTTATACAAATGGTGGCATACTAGATACGGTACTTTTTGTTAACTTCACTTTTTCTGCTTAACAAAATATCTTGGAGACTGTTTTTATATCAATACATCAAGTTCCCTCATTCTTTTGTAAAAGGTTATGTATCTTTTCTACCATATGAATATACCTTAATCTATTTACACAGTCCTCTATGAAAATAACTTTTGGTTATTTTCACACTTTTGCTTCTACAAACACTACAGCAATGAATGACTGGGAATATGCACATCACAAGGCATATCCATAGGAGAAACTCCTAGCAATGGAACTAAGGCAAAGAATAAAAGCACTTCAAAATTTGACAGATACTTCCAAACTTCTTTTCACAACAGTCACACTAAATGACCTTTCTAGCAATGTGTGAATGAAGAAAAGTCTTTGAAAAATACTACAAGATAATGAAAATAAGGCCTGACCAAGAAGTAGGGAATTGGCCTGCTGTTGGCTCTACTGGCCTGGGCACTCTTAAGACTGCATCCTTAGGTTGTCTGATGATCTACTCTGAGACAGGTCCATACAACCCTCCCCTCATTTACTTCTTATTATGTGCTGTGTTCTGATTCTCCCATGGAAATGATCCTATAGGCTTAATAGGGCCCACTGAGCTAAACTCTCAAGGTTGAATTAAATGTGTATTGGCTTCCTGAGAGGCATCTGCCCCACCCAGACATCTTTCCAAGTCCAGAGAGATAACAACAGCTGCCTCTCTCCATTCCTCGATTAAGAAGCCCATCTATGATAGTGTATGTAGTGCTGCAACTTGGTTAAGCAGAACACGATAATTCTTCAAACCTTTAAGTTGTATAAATCCATATGTAATATACACACATTTTGGGTAGATTTTTGTGTGTGTGCGTGGTGCTGGGGATTAAACCCAGGGCCTTGTGCATGCAAGGCAAGCACTCTACCAACTGAGCTATATCCCAAAACCTTGGGTAGATTTTTAAAGAAAAAAAATAATATGTCCTTGGCTAAGGATGTAGCTCAGTGTTACAGTGTTTGCCTAGCATGCAGGAGGTCCTGGGTTTGAGCCCTAACATTACACATACACACACACACACACACACACACACATACACATACACACACACACACACACACACACACACACACAC